CTGGACTCAGACTCTTAATTTTTTTTACATTTTAGATAAAACAGATCTTCATTAAACTGTGCTCTGCTTCCATCGTGAGCAGCCAGTAGAGTTTTTACAGAGATGTAGTTCCAACAGCTGCACTGCATGATAAAATAGTTTACTCGCATTTTATAATTTGCTTTTGTTCTTAGTTTAAAGGTCCAGGTTAGTTTTCATAAGTATACAATCACCTGAATATAAGAATTATGTTACTGTTACTATTTATATTCACAGATGGAGCAGGTGTCCTATGGAGTACGTCATGTTGAACCGCCATGTTTCTACAGTAGCCCAGAAGGACAAACCACACACTGGCTCTAGATAGTGCTCTCTGCGGTTTGTCGCTTTGTGCGTAGAATGGAAGACTGAAGCAGGGAGTTGCAGTTTTGACAGTAGTTGACAGCAAATAACAGCAGTGTCAACTTTTTTAATTAAGCATTCTCCAACCTATAGATAAAGCATCAAAAAGAACCTTTTAATGTTTCAAACTGATCTGCATTTATCTATAACTTTAAACTCAAAGAACAATAATGTGCAGCATGAGAATATATATATATACTCTTAAGCAAAAAATGCCATCTCTCACCCTTTGTGCAGCAGTATCTCAGTGTGTAGGAACTTGGCTTGGGAAACAGAGGGTTGCTGGTTCAAGTCCCACAGACCACAATATGCAATATGCACTGCCGGGGTGCCTTTGAGCAAGGCAACATAAAAACTCCTCATGGGGCGCGGCTAACGTGGCAGCCCATCACTCCAACATCTCTGTCTGTGTGTGTGTGTAATAAAAGAGTGAAAAGAACAATTTCTCCAATAGGGGATTAATAAAGTATATATCTTCTTCTTCTTTACCCTAACCGTGAAACACCCATAATTCCAGACTTGAGCCTACCAGTCTGGATGGGCTGCCTTAAATCTAAAACACAAATGTTTTTCAGTTGTACATATTAACGATATTACGATTTCAGCATTTCACATGTACACCACTATTAAATGCGATGTTATGGTTTATTTATTAAACCTTGTTATTTAATCAGACCCCAAACATCATGAGAACCACAGTGAAGCTGGAAAAAAATCACAACTAAATTATAATACATGCATGAAAGTGAGGACACACAACTAATTGATGTTTTTTTTTTAAATAATATGCACCATCACCCAACAACAGGATGAAAAAAGAAACAATTAGGAGATCTAGGAGAAAATGAGCTTGGAGGAGGGTGTTTGCCCTCCTTTTTTTATTTTTTCTATTTTAAGAGTTCTTAAGATCAGAGCTTTCTGTGGTACCAGCCTCAGAGGAAGGCAGTGTGACTTTCGACAGTTTGAAGGGTAACTGGGTCCTCGCTGCCTCCTGCTGGCTCCCACTGCCTCTGTAATTGGTCCAGTGAGAAGTCTACTGGGAGGAGCAGGAGGGAGTTTACTGGAGCACAACTCACCCCAGGGCTTCTTCACAGAAACAAAGCCCTCCATGCCACTTTGCAGAGAGTCCCCCCACTAGCCAACAGGCTCCAGACCTTTTGTGGTAATAATCTCCCACAGACAGGAGTGTGCCACTTTCATGTACAAACACATGCATAGAGAAACAACTACTGTACATTGTGTCCATAATCATCCATATCATGCATTGTTCTTGTTCTGTATCTTACCCCTTACATTCTACAGCAAATGGACATACACATAAACTCAATTATGCACACATTCTGAAGGTTAAATATACACCTGCATGTACAGAATACACACATGCAGCGGTCATCTGCTAATAACACACACAAATTAAAACTGGTATGCACACACAGTAGCAATTTAAACTCATGCATATGGCATGTGGCTGTCCACACACATATATTTTCCTGTTCTATTTTTGCTCCCCCACACCTGGCACAAATGTGTCTAGCCAGCAGGACATCACGGTCCATACAGTTGATCAGTGTCCAAGAAGGATAAATAAATAAAGCGAAACAATTGGAAGCTCAGGCTTTCATCCTCAGCCTCTTGGTAATTTTACCCCAGCCAGCATTGCCAGTATAACTCTGTGTCCTGCTGCAGTGGGTAAGCTGATATCCCTTCTGGATCTTACATTGTACCAAAATTCTTTGTTTCAGGCTTATTAATTGTGTCACCTGCAACTGAAGGGCTGTGTGTGTGTATGTGTACATGTGTGTTAAAATTACTGTACATTTTCACAATTTACACTCATATATCTTATTTAATTTTTTTATGCAGATTACATTTGCACTGTAACATTGTACAGTATACTATTTCATTGCATTGCACAAATTTTCAACAACAACATGACAATGTCATACCTGTCAGATGTACAGGGGTTTGCACAGACATTTCTAGGGCCTGTTGCACTAACCTGAAAGAATAACCCTAACCCTGCTGTCTATACGTTACCCACATAGCTAGCTAATATTGGTTAATTTGATAGCATAATATGAGGCAATATTATGTATCCCTAACGCTAACCCAAATCATCAACACCAAGTTTGGATGCTACAGTGTCACGTGATAGGCCTTCCGTCAACTTTTTTTTGTTACGGCTATAGGCTGCCCCATCTCACTGTACTCATAACTTATACTTTAAAGGCAGGTGTCTTCACTATTAAACTAAAGTTTAAAGTCAAGTTAAATAAACTAAAAAAAAGTTTACTCCAATCCAATAATAACCTGCTGTTTCTTTTTTAGAAAAACTTAAATCTTTAAGTTTCAGAAACAAAAAATGTGTATTGCAAAAATGTGAAAACAGTTAATTATTTAATATTTTCAATTGCAATGATTTCATTTTCAAACACTGAAAAAATGAAAATAATGAATTTTTGAAATGCAGATTTCTCTTGCTTTGTTTCTACAATTTTTATATATATGTTTTGCTAAAGAAGAAAATTAAATTACCCCAACAAAAGTTTGTAATTAGGTTGGCAAAACTTTTTTCAGTTCAGAACTTAAAAGTTCAAATTTGATTTAAAAACCCCAAATGTAGTGAAGAGTAGAGTTTTCTCAACTGTTTCTTCTACAGTGCATGTCCTGCAGAGGCACGCCTATTAAAAAGTTACAGAGCTGCAGTCCTAACATTGCTTTGAAGTATATGTGGAGATTTTTATTCATTGGGCATCCCATTGATTAAACCATTGATCATTAATCATTTTCACAAGTACAAAAGACTCACCCAAAGTTTGGATGATATAGCAATTTAATTTGGTCTAACTTTAGCAACTATGGCATACTTGTATTTATGCGGCCACAACAGTAAAAATATAAAAACTATTATTTATGTATTTGTCTCTCCAGAGGGGTAGGACCAAAGAGGGCAAATGGGCTGTTGCTTGGGCTTGGGCTATGGGAGAAGAACTCTTGGTGACTGGAAACTATTTTGTGCTGTTTGTTGTGTGATTTGTACTCAGAACTGTAATTTACTAATATTTCATGTCTGTTTCTTTATAGTTTTGCTGGGTGTGCTGACAACATGTGCCCAAACCGAGATGAAGAAGGTTGTTGGAGACAATGCCACGATGCCCTGCCACCATCAGTTCTGGGTGGGTGATGACCCCACTCTGGACATTGAGTGGTTGCTTCTGAAGCCCACCAACAGGCAGAGAGTGGTGAGTGTCTCTCCATGCCAGTGGTTCAATGTTTAATCAAGCAGCACAGAGTAAGAGAAAAAAAGCAGCTCTGATCTTTGATTTGTTGTCCAATTATTGAACATGTTAAATAATATTTCACCTAAGTATTCTTTAATACAGTTATTTGTTTAAGAAAGCAGCCTTCTGAGTCATATTAGTGCTAAATCAAATAGAAAAGGTATATTTTCATTCAAGTGAACAAACACACATCCTCTCTCTTCTGTACAGATATTATTGCTAGTTTTCATAGACTAGTTCCACATTGTTGCACTTGCTGTTTGTGTTTTACCTTATTTACCCCATCACAAACCCACACACCCATTTTACTTCCCCGACCAGGTGATTACCTACTTCGCTGGACGGGTTTTCGACCCCAATGAAGCAGAGCGTGGACGCGTAGCCTTTGCTGGAGAGTACTTAAAAGGCGATGCTTCTCTGCTGATCAGCGACTTGTCTCTGACAGACTCAGGAGAGTACAGCTGCAAAGTCAAGACTGGTGCACAGTACCACTGGAGCACCATCAGCCTCGTAGTGCTGGGTAGGTGGCAGACAGCACTTAGGTTCAATTGGAAAAACCACAGACCGAGAGAAGACTCATGAGAACACTGTGCAACTGGAGGTGTCATGAAAACCCAAAGCTGTTAGCATTAGAGCTGTTATTAAATGTAGTGCAGCATACTGTGATACCCTGAAAGACCAAAGTGTGTGTTCAGACCAATGATTTCACTTGTGGAGCTTTCATCCACTTACTGTGTAGGGGTAGAATATGACAGAGTAAAAATGGAACGAGTTGTAGCTCTCATCCTCCTTTCTTTGTGTGCAGTGTTGGCTCAGATTACTTTGAAAATTTTGTGAGTTACTGAATACAATCTACATGGTAGTCTTTGCAATTATTAACGTAATCCATTACAAAAATGTAATCTAATCTATATACTTTTGGATTCCCTTTGGACTCCTTCAAAATCGAACATTGAAAATAATGCACCTTATACTAAAGAAATGGACAAAGCCACAAAATTCCGCAAATATTATTTTTTCTCTTTAAACAATAAAAATACATTTCTCACTTACATTTGGTTAAGTTATATAACACTGTATGTCTTCTGTGATTATTTATCCACTTTTCCATGTTGAAAGCGATTGTTGTTGTTAGCATGGTTGTTCGCGGTCCACTGGCAATCCGATGATACCTTGGGTTGAGTCTCTTGACCATTCAGAGGCTGTGGCTAGAAATTAATCCAACACAGAAGTACCAAAAACTGCAGTTCCTCTAATGGTCACTTGAGGCTGGCTTCAGCAGTGAGTCAATCTCCATAAGGCCCATATTAAAATGCCCAACTTTACAGCAGAAATAAACATGGTTACAGCCTGGTACAAAAACTCTTTAGGACTCTATAGCTATTTTTTTATACAACTCAGATGTTTGAATTACATTAACCCCTATATTAATGCTTTGAATGACAGGTGGGTGTCATCATTTTTGGATTAGCTGGAGCCGGCAGAGCCAGGACTGCCAAGATGGCGACAGCTGGAGCCAACCACACTGAGCTTCACAGCGGTTCTTCACAAACCTGACTATAATATGTCCATTTTTATTGAAATTGAGAATGCCATAGAAAAGGATTTGGACTTAAATACTGACTGAGCCCCACTCAACATTTCAGTTTAAGACACTGTAGACTACCAGCTATAATTGTAAGTCCTGATTCAAAGTCCTGATTCAAAACTAGCTCCATATAAAGTCAATATTCCAAACTGGAGCAGCTACAGCAGGTCTCTCACCTCTTTTGCAGAAGCTGCTTCATCCTCTGCGTTGTCTGCATTTTCCTGTGCGTCCTGGGCCTTCTCGCCAACATTCTGCAGCAAGTCATTGAGCTTGTCCAGTTGTGGTTTCATTGGGTTTATCAGTGACGATACATCATCCAGAGCCTTCTCTGCCGGACTCAGCTGGGTTTTGGCCTGCAAGAAGAGGAACCGCTCTAAAAGTCAGTAACGCTTCTGACTAACTGGAATGAGTGAGCCACCATGTCATCCACTGTTTGGTGTATCCTTGCTTCCTACCTCAGTCAGGCTTTTGTTCAGGTTGTCTATGAGATCCCGACCATGCTGTCTCTGCAGTTCTTTCCGATTCCAGCGTCAGACAGGGAGCTCCACCGACGCCGAAGCTGCAGAGCAACCCATTCCACGTCGCCTGACGCACTCAGTCGCGTGTCCCCTGTGAACATGCTAGCAAACAGCTGTTGATAACTATGACTACAAGCCATAAGAGAAGCACTGCAAACTCCATCCAGACCAGAATCAGAGGAACGGAACTTCAGAAAGACC